AGATGTGAAATTATTCGGATTAAGTTTAGAGTACTGCGCAAATACAGCGTTTATTTCTGTCGAAAAGAGTACACGTATACATGAGTACACGTCTGGCACACTTAATAAATACTAAGTAAGTAAGAAAATGGATATAAAATTCTGAGAAAAAAATGAAATAACTGCTGTATTGGTGAACTAATATTATATATTTATATATTCTGTTGCTATTTGTTATAATCAATATCACACGGAGGTTATTCTTCTTTGCATTATTGATTTGGCGCTTGATCATTTTCTGGCATTCTCGCTACACTCTCCCCGTGGTTAGTTCTGCTGTCTTGATCTCCGCTGCTTCGTCCTTGTTGAATCCATAGCGATCATCAGATGAGAAGCTTTCCAGAGTCTTCCTGAGTACTATCGATTATCCAATCGATATACCTCGACGTGATCAGATATACTGATTTCCTTTGCGTAACGCTAATGGAAGTTCACTATTTCAAGTCATCACATAAATTCGAGTTTATTCATCTCTGTCGAGTTTATTAACCAGTAAATCATATTTTCTCGGTCTCCACTGCTATCAACTTACCCAAATCAATGATGCCAACCTCTGTCATGAGTACTTCGTGCCGCTTCATTATCTCATACATCAGAATATCTAGCCGATCCGTCCTTATTATAGTCGCAGTTTTTACGCGTATATCGACTCTGATTTCCACGTTTTCATTAGCGACGATTTACTGGCTCCGTATGCGTGGGAATGCTTTTAAACCATACTTACTGCAAAATCCTAAGTAGATACGTTGCATGACCTCGTGATATAACATTTTCTCGCATTGCATGCTAGATGGTCCACTGTCTTCACACGTCCTCTACAATGTGGCTACATACTTTTTCATTTCAAACATAGTTGACAGTATCGCGCTTTATTTTGTGAGGTAATATTTCTGAATCGTAGTAACATTGATGAATCTGGCATAAAGGCTAGCTCATTACTGCGCATATTATATAGCTTTGCATGACGAATTTTCTTTTCTATTTCGCTTTACAAGAGCGCTTTCTGGGCTGCTATTACGACGGTTCGATTTTCTACGACGTTATTGTATTTAATCTGAAGGTAAGATACAATAACTGTTAATTACGTGTTATGAGTCTTCTCCTGCTTCAAAATCGCTGCCCTTCCGTGGATATAGGCGCAGTAGGCACTTTATGTGTTTTCTTGATCAGTTAGAAGCGCTACTTTTAAGTACCTCATATTGAGCCGACGGCTGTTAAGGTTTTTTAATAACTTAATCAGGTATCCATGATTAACTAAATCGAACGCTTTCTTGATGTTATACCACGTTGTGTAAAGCTGGTTTACGTACTTTGCAAACCGCCAGGTTCAACATTGCTTGCTCCTTCGCACCTTGAACCTGGGTAACAGTTCCTAATCGATTGTCTGCAAGCAGCTTCCTCATGACAACATCTAGCTGCATGACGCATGCCACACATTTCGTTGTTAACTTGTAAAAGTTCGACATACAAGTTGTTGGCCTGAAGTCGCTGCTTTTACTTGGGATACCTTTTGAAATCAAGTTGGTAGTACCTTTACAGAACGACGGATCTGTCCCTCCTGATCCAAGTAAACCGCTTTTAGTATTTTGTACAGGTCTGGATGCAAGGAGGTGCACTTCTTAACAAATAAAATCAGAATAATTTCATATTTTTCTTTGAAGAAAGTGTCCAAAAATAATTAATGCTTCCTTTCTAATTAAATATCTTTTTATACTTATTCGGTGAAACCTATGAATAAAAGTCTAAAATAGAAATTTTATGAAACTGTATTTTGGAATAAAATTTACGCTTTGAAAGTATACTATATATACGTACATAGTCTTAACCGTCAGACTTACATATTCTTTCACGCTTGATTGGGAGAAGCAAGCAAATCAAACGACGTCAAGCTCTGGGAAGGAAACAACTGAAATAGCTCGCAGAAAATGTAAGCTTTGCCTGCTAACCCTACAAGTTTAGTCTTAAGCGCTCTTCTTTAATACTTTAAAAGAATTTGGTAAATACATTGCACACTGAGCACTGAAAGCAAAAATGTAGGAACTTTTTTAATTCACATTTTAAATGCAATTTATGCAGGCATTTTGTAGATTGGAATACGATAAGATATTGCATTTAATATTTAAAACTTGAAATGGGGCACTTGTAATGATATTTCGAATATAGTATTAAGTATTTGTGTATTATACAATACATTTATATTTATATGTTGATAATTACTCTTATGCAGTTTATATTATGAGTACTTCTGCATTCATAATCACTGTTATTTTTCAAACTTTGCTACCATTAATTAAAAAATATTAATTCTATAGACTAATAGGCTTACCAATTAATATGATTAGCTTGATATTTAATGAATCACTGGAAATGAAATATGAAGAAGAGAATATCAGCAATAACTTCTCCAAATTTAATATTCTTAGTAACTACGAACGACCAAAAATGTTTGCACAAACTGCAAATGGTTTATTTTTCATGACGGACATGAGATTGCATTTTTCGAAAAATGCTTCAGTTAAGATTAAATTAGTGATTCTATGGATGTGATTACTTAGTATTTAGGATTGATTTACTAGCAACACTTGTCAATATTAATATACAGAAAGTCTGCTCTTAATATTCAGATTAAGTTCATTGATAACTGTAAAAATTTATTTGCAACTGTCACCGTTTTAAGATTATTTCTGACACTGCATACAACTTAAAAACAAGTTGCAGAATTTATTTCAGTGAAAAAAAAAGACCCACAACATAAAATTTCTGAGATACTTGCAGCGGATTCAACTAGCAAAGATAGCAGATCAGAATCACCAATAACTCCGTCGGGTAAGCTTTAAATAGTAATTTGAAATCTTTCAGTGCATGGAATAAATGATAGTACTCACAATATGGACGTATATTTTTTTACAAGTTTTTATTCTTTGATAATAATAATAAATGCAAATATATTTGAGATGCAGAAAAACAGTATATTCTTCTGCATCTGAAACTCTTTCGATATATAATATCGAAGTGCGCGAGGTGCACTGCTTCTTCTTCTACCATTTAAAAATAAAAATTGCGCATGCATAAGCAAAACTCAAGAAGTATTCATGTTTGTAGAAAAAAAATTGCAGGTAATTCCATACGAAAATTGTCAGTTATCAAAGAAACCAAAAGAAGTGCGAAATCAAACGTCAGATTTACAACTGAAACTCAAAAGTGTAGAAAATTCTGTAAAATGAAATTTGTTGATAAATGAACTGCTACTTATGACACTGAGATCAAGATCACGTGTATTGCAATCTGTTTAATTGCTTAAGCGTTTTCTAATATTGCGATTTTCAGAAGGTTCCAATGGCTCAAGAATTGTCTGATAGAGTGTTAAAAACACGAGAAAGTCAGCCCGTAAAAAGTTATGATTATATTTCTAAAAATTCTTTGCATGCATTACTTAACATTACATACTTCCGTAACATATAAAGGTGTTTAACTGCTGCAATACATGCACTTCCCATCAACTTGTATTGCTTTTAAATAAATAATTAATTTAGCTTAAGGCTAATCATAAACTGATACAGGAATCTATCCAAATTACGAGAATTTAAAAAGCAACAAGCGATGGATAAACAGCAAACAAGAAATTAAAGAGGTACGTGAAGTTACCGGACTGATTTAATTCAAACTTTTAACAAACCTGAAACAATTAATCTGGAAAACAATATGATTGATACGATGCGAAATACTACATCCTCACTACATTTTTTTCCACCCGTGTATATCACAACTCACATAATCACTCTTAAATTTGTACAAAATTTTAGGAAGCATCAAAGAGTATTACAACTTCTCGTCGTTTTATAAAAATGAAAGTAATACTGCGACAGCATCTATATAATAAAGTAGTCGAGAACGCTATCATAGCTGAAGTTATTGATACATCCACCTTGATAGAAGCACTTAAATTCTTACTTTGCAATACATCGATCCCAGCACTGTAAGAAATTTCATGATAATAAGAAAATCAGAAAAACTTTCAATTAAACTTTCAATTTGAACAATTAGTTCTAACCTTAGCAAGTTGACGTCGTTACAGAACGCCGTAAATGTTACCAAATTATTCTTAATTTCTTATATCTTAAATTTAATATTCAGTTTTATTAAATCTGTACTCATCTAATCCTAATGCACTCTATTTAACTCTTCTACGATGCACTAAACGCCATTATAAGCGAACTCTTTTCTGAATAAGTCAACATGCGGTACTTGCACACGCTAGAAGCAGCAAAAATTTTGTTACATACACTTCTACTTACCAGAGGCATTCCCTTAGGAGAGACTACATTCTACTTCTAATTTCAGATGCAGTGATTACGGACGTTTATTTTTACTTCCTGATGACAATCAAAACACGAAGGCGCGTGAGTTGTCTTATGAAGAAAATCGCTTCAAAATGTTAACGGAATTATGTCCAACAGCAATGAGATGCTCATTCTTACTAGATTTGACAAACACATTCCATGCTTCGAAATTCAGTCACTCTAGCTCAAGCTTCCCTTTGTGATAGTCTGAGGTAAAGTTATAAAACTGTAATCAACGCAAACACTTTGAAATGAACTATGATGCAAATAAGGAAACAAAAACCCATATTTGACAAAATAAATAGAATAGTGTAAAAAAGCAAATATAATACCTTCATTATTGATAAAAATTGTTTTTAAATATCGTCATGAATTATCTCAATGTATACACAACGAATATAACGTTAATCCAGACTCGTTGAAAAATTCACGAGAAATTTAGGAACTAATTTAAATTTTTTAATTTCATGGCTAATTTTATGCATGCACACACCATTTCACCTCTTAACTCTACCAAAAATCCTATAAATTTCAAAAACTGATATTTCCGGATTATAAATGTCCTAATGAAAAAATTGGAAAATGTTGACTTAATGATCACCGTGAAAGGTGCTAAATCGAAAAACTGCCAGAATATAAGATTATATTCGTCATATCAGTATCAACCATTTACCTTCTTCAAATACATATAAAAAACATCTGATTAAAAAGCTAGATGAAGGAGGTACATACACTACAGAATGAAAACATCACTGAGCTTTAGGAATCAGTGTAATTTTCACTATTACAGTTTGAAAACCAAAATGTAAAGTTACTTACATTTTTTTTTCAAAGCAATTAAAGACCGAAAAATAATAAACATACATGAATTCACAATACATCAATAAATGTAACAGTCAAACAACCAAAACTGTAATAATGTGATGATGAACCTAAATTGAATGAATCTAGCGAAGATCATAAAGTGACAAAAAGTTTCCTACTAACTTTATGGTTCGAAAATATTAATTTTGAGCCAATTTGATAAAAGAGAATTTGGTGAAACTAAAACAAATGAATATTAAGGCTTCATTCTACTCCAGCCCATAAGATGTTACTTGATTATGCGAAGCTGATGGAAAAACAAGAAAGTGAAAAAATTCATAAAGTCTTCGCATGCAAATATTGCAAATAATACTAATTACTGAGATTTTTTCACTACAGAGTTGCTTCTTTGTAAAGGTCAAATGTTGTAAAATACAGCATTTTTATTGAGAAAAGAAATTTCTCAGTAACTACTGATATGCACAAATGGTACGTACAGTAAAAAATGTAGCAAAATAAAACAAACTGATTCTGTCACAATGAAAACAATTATAAAGCTCATAACGCTGAAACAAATTTGGCAAAAAAGATTAAAGGAAATTTTACAAAAATACAATAAAATAAGTATTAAAGGTGCAAGTCAGTTTTGCAGTAATCCATATTTCATATTTGTTACTATTCATAATAACAGAAATAATTACAACTACTCGAAGTGGCTGACTAATAGAACAATAAATTTTTATTTTTAATCAAAAAGTTTACCACTGAATGTTTTAACTGTTTACAATTATAAAATTAATGAATGATTTGTTTCTAAGTGTTTGGACGATAGAAAAATTAAAATATAAATAAACAACGCAAACTAAATCCGTACGTTCAAAATAATTTGGTTGCAGCCCACTCAATACAAAATTGATTAAAACCATGGAAAAGTAACACCAAACTTACAGTAAAAATATTACAAGATTACAATATGATTTTCAAATATATATATGAGTATATAAAAGTACAAAATTCAGTATTCAGAATGTTGAGTCATAGTATATATACATTTACTATGTTCGCAATAATACAAGTAAAAATATCACCCTCGTGCTAATTGCGGCTGGACAGACGCTTTTTCAACTCGAAAAACATTGCAATTCAGGAAAGCATAATCAACAACAAACAAAGAAATATATTACCTGTTAGAACTGAAATTTTTGATGCTCAAATGATAAATTTGATTTTGCCAGTGAATTTCAAACTCACAAGCCATATTCTGAAAATCTCACAAAGCAAATAGCTCATATAAATAAGAGATATAATTTTTTTAATAATTACAACTACATACGAGCTATTTCATTTCGGTTTTCTGTTGAAACCTGACTCGTTGTTGTTGTTTGTGAATTAGCTCTCACAGGACGTCGTGTTGGACCAGGTTGTTCCTTAAAGAAGCATACAATGTTGATCTCTTATAAATTGTAAGTTAGAACAACTTGCCACAGGAAAATGATTTATATTTCAAACGCAATATTTGAAAAACTTCAATGCAAAATCATATTTCCTATTCTTATTTCAGTAGTAAAACCATTCTTCAAAAATACGATTTCAACATTAGATAAAATGGCAGTGACTATGGATTATATTTTTATAGCATAGTAATGTTCTTACTTTAAAAGCGAAGATTTAGCTTCAAAATCTAATGAATCATATTTATCTACTCAGAAATCAAAAATTAAAGTGAGAATGAAAAATTATATATGATCAAAAGTAGGCTAGCATAAAAGTTAGTGTAGTAGATAAGTGAGATAAACAGTGTTTATAAACATCATATTGAACACAAAGCTATGAAATACGAAATAAATGTAAACGTACGGAAGATGAATTTTCTTGACTTGTTAATTGTGTTCCACTAAGCAAACCATCACGTCCTAATGAAGAACCTAAAAGGTTAAGCAGAAATAAGGAAATTTTATGACAAAATTTACAAAAACAGACTGTAAACTAGTAAATTTATTAGTTTGCAATTATTCTTACTTTATGATTCAGTCTTACAGATACTATAACTTTAAGGTACGTCTCATGAGATGTGCACAAAATAAGAGAATTACAAAGTAGAAATACATCAGATATAGTCAGTGAAGTACAATGCTTACCATCAGAGCTTTTGCTGTGTGAACTTAGAGGACGAGTTTTGGACTGCATCAATTCAAAATCTCGCCGACATACATTACTTAATGTTTGCATACTGTGCAAATTAGTGGTAGTGGTACTACTTGAGCGCATAATAGGATTAATAAGCTGTCGTACCTTTCAACATATAACTTTATGTATTTAAAAAATCAAAGAACATACAAACTTCACTGACAAGGAAAATTATGAAAAGATATAAAAAAATTGATGAAAAAATGAGAGCCGAAAATAGATCTGAGCGACTACTATGGTTACTAAACTGGTTCGAAAAATCCTGTATAAAATTAGAAAGGATCGTCATAAAGTGTAATAGTGTAGTTGAAGTGAAAGATGAATAGTAAAATAAAATTTCTTAAACGACCTTTATTATAAAGAAATAAACTAAACTTACTTTATCAGCTGCACCAATTCCAACAGATGCACTGCTTTGCGTGTGAGTCGCACTTAATTGTTTCAGATCCATCAGATTTTGAAGTTCAAGTCCTGCCCCGGGTCCCATGTGAACAATATGAACAAAATCAGACGGACCACTGATCGGCAACTGACTACGCCGATCCCCAATCCTACATAAATAACTTTAAACGAAATTTACATTAGGAGCCACAACTAACACAATATTTTGAGAGACAATCCAACATTCTAATTATCTTAACTCGTTATCAGCCATCAACTGACATATAAAAGAAAACGCAGTCAAAATTTCAGAAAAATTTCAAATTATTTCTGAGATGCAGAAGTAAAAATAATCGTATATTTAAATCTGTTTAAAACGCTTGTGATGGAAGAACACTACACCTTCCATGACGATCATCATCTCGTGGTGTACGTATCGAAAACTTTCGTCTACGTTTTGCGACGATACCCTTTAGGGAAAGTGAGGATGAATTAGAGACGACAGAAGATGTCCATACTGGAATACTAACAGCATCCTCATCTGTAGATTAATTGTATTTTCATCAATATACTGAATTAAACACACAAAACAATTAAACACAGTTTATTTTTTTTAAAGATTAATAACATTGAAACCATCTGATTACTTTAGCATTATAAAAAGTTAATTATTGAAGTTGAACACAACAATATCTTCTAAATTTATTCACTGATGCGATCTGATACCATGTAGTTAAGTGATATTTATGTAATAACACAACTATTAATTGGTGAGCTATGCAGCAATATTTACAAGCAAATATTCGTATTTTACTAGTGGAAATATTTTTAGTCTTTCAAAATTTATAGGATATTTTGCTTTTTCTGACCTGAAAACCTACAGGGAAAAATGTAAACAGTTACTTTTATTATTAATTATACATTTACATCACATAAAACAAATCATAAAAACGTTACCTGAAAGCACATCTGAAAGCAGCACGACATATGGCATATCGTTTACCATACACATTGTAAGTAATCCGTTACTCGTTAACGGGAATGCCTGAAAAGAGCTTTACGCTTTGTTGTAAGTATAGCTCTTTTCATAATGCGATGGATGAGCCGATTTCATGCTCAAAGCAATTCAGTTTAGTGACGCTTATTTTTCAATGAAGCAAAAAACACTTTTGTAACAATGATCTATGAAATTTACTTTTTGAAAAAAATTACTAATCACTATTTAACAACGTGAGAGTTTTAGTATTGCATTCATTGAATACTTTTTTGATTACAACGAATACCTTATTTAAATTAATCGTTTGCACCCATTCAGCGCTATTCACATTGAAAATATCAATTTCATTGACTGAATACACACATAAATGAGGCATTATGCATACAAAGCCACCCTGCGATGCTTCCGCCGGAAACATCAACTCCTGTGAACGACATCGACGACCTAAACCAAATTTATCATTTTCACGTCAAATGAGCATTTAATACTGCATTGAAGGTACATTTGTTCCTTTAATTGACAAATTCATGCAAGCTAGCATAATCTACCTATTTTTGTTTCTCTCACACAACACATCCTTTTAAAATTTGCATTATGATTGCACCAAAGTCTGAAACGTTTATAATTTGAAATCAAACTGTATAATGACCTTGTGCATCGACATAAACTCCAAGTCGAGAGAATATTAAAAGGAATTCTTTCTGTTCATACCCGCTGACATTGATAATTAAGTGAGCATCATATAATGTTTGATTTAGAAACTGAAGTGACGAATCTTCGAAATTTACCAGAGCTAAAAATTGAAGTCAAACAGACAAAAACTGTCATACTAACTATGTAACATTCAAAATAATAGTTATTTGAAGCAAAATGCTTTTCTTTCCAAGAGGGATTCATGTTTCTTGTCAAAATTTTGTTAGCAAAACTCAATTAAAACTAAACACTACGATCTTGAAAAGAAATTTGATTCTTGACACGACTTTGTTCACATAATTACGAAAAAAAAACACTAAAATATGGAAAGAAGAAAATTTTCGCACACATATTTTTAAAATACAAACCAGTAGTAGCGTTGTCGACGAGATCCCACATCCTAAAACCTGAAGGATAACCAACGCATAATTTACCCCGCATCACTCTCATAGTTTGAGGCTGTCCTGGCATAGCCAATTCTCTAACTTTTCGATGTCGTTTCTCACTGCGATCAACTTGAAAAACGAGAACCTATAATAAATACTTCAATAATTCTTCGAACTCTATATTTTTGAAAATTTTCATATTTATAAATCAAAAATGAAATCGAATTTCAACAGATATCAGTAAAGAGTAATATTTGAAAAAAAATTCTAATTAGCGAAGATGGAATATAAGTTGGTAATTACAGAAAGCATTACAAAATAAACTTTGTCATAATCACAGAATTTTAAATCTAGTTGTTATTGAGATTCTTCAATTACAGAAAAAATAAATAAAAACAAACTGTTTTTTTAATAGCCACACAGAAATAATGACATGGATCGCTCGAGGAACCTGCACCTATTGTCATCAAATGACACCCTTTAGTTTCCGGTACTTTGATCCACTTCAAATCTCGACCATCGAGAGCAGCCATAGGTATCAAACGAATATGACGATCCTTTTGGGGACCAACCATTACTACTAGCAACTAAAATTTGACACGATGTTAACTACTCACTAACATTTAAAAGAACAAGCGAGCATAATTCCTTTCACAGCATACAAAAATTATTAAATTTTTTAAAGCACAAAAAATTTTTAACATCGAGACATAAGTATTATTCAATGCTCTTCTTCTGATACAATTTCTGTGAATTACCTGTTCTTCAGCATTATATTCCACTCGTTCTACTGTTCGTCTGTTATTTTCTTTTTCACCACCGACCAGTGTTATAGACTGAAACAATACTTGACTTAGAAGAAAAAATTTGCATTACAGTAACATGTATAAAAGTTCTTTTTATGCATCACAATGTTATTGCCAATCTTGCAGTTCACGGCATTAGTGATGTACGTTCAACACGGGTAAATAATATACTGATTAGTACAAAATTACAGCGAAGGGAAAAAAAAGAAATTTTGATAACTTTTAGAAACCTGACATCATCTTGAGCTGATTTCATACTAACAGTTACTTATACAAAAATTTTTCGATTTTGAGACACAGAAATGAAAGAAAAACTATTAAATCAATGGGTGAAATGTACATTCAAATAACTGGTTTGATGGCAATTTTTTGGGCATGCAATGCAGTCACGAAGTATGCATATCATCATACTGCAAGCTCAACTGTGGATAGTTTGATTATGGCTCTATTATGTTATCTTGTAGTACCATTCCTGACCTTAATAAATATTAACAATGATAACTTTGCAAAACTATGGCACAGAAAACGAACGCTACGCAGATACAAAATACCTCTATTCACCATCATCGAGGTAAGTCCACTACAGATGCTTAGCTGTTCATTTACATACGAAAGTAATTTGCTTTATATCAACAATTTGACTAAGATTAGAAAACAACGATTTTCAAGTCTTGCAATGTGTTATTTTTACGTTATGCAGAATGATTCCTACCTAATATTTACTAGAAGTAAATGTTTTCTGTCATTACGAAGAAAAATTACTTACAATATTAAGGTGTAGACTAAAAACGAAGCAGCGTCTTTTTAATAACTTATTGTAATACAATAATTCCAACACGGGTCTAAACTATGTCTGGTCATTCAGTCAACAAAGAAACGAGCAAATGTTACTTTATTTTTAGGGCATTTTATCTGGATATTTCTTAAGTGACAGACGGCATCAGCAAATATCCCCTTGTATTTGGCTTGTTCCTTTAGGAATTGCATTAGCAACAAACACGGAATGTTTTAACTTTGGAGCGTGAGCTATTTCTTGTTTCTACTCTCTCCATAAAACTCACGTAGTTTAAATATTATGCGTTCAGACTGGACCATATTTAACAAACTATTATATAAAAATTTGGATCTACTAAATCAACATACACCTGCTCAAAATATATAGAAAGAAGCGATACACTGAAAGGCAAATGAAACTAACTCCTTATATGGAGGTGTAATATCTACATAATTTAATATTTGCCACGACAGCTCTAAAGTAAACAAACACACTGTAAGATAGAGATTTCTCTTTCAACTACTTTTCAATTAAGCTTTATTTAACCTGCAGTTCTTTATGTAGTACAAGAATTGAAATTGAAAACAAAAGCTTAAAAACAAATTCAGATGCCAAGATAAGCTATTATTTGTGACAATAACGCAAGGTATAATTAATGAACTAGTTTTTGGGCTATTCGTTGGAATTACGTTTTCTTACATTTGTATCTCTCTTATTTATTCAACGATAGGATTTTTTGCTGTTAGATTTTATCTCCAGAGATATCGTGATGAGCGAGTAAGTCATTAGCTTTAGTTAAAGATGCAACCAAAACATCAGAGGATATTTCTAATAAACTATGGATTTCCAAATTATAAAAACCAAACAAATATTTCACTTTATACTCTCAATTAAGTGCTATATTCAATAACATCTAAAACTTAAACACATGTTAGAAGTTATCTCCTCAGTATCATTATAGAGCAATGAAAAACAAATTAACGAAAATTTTTTTCTTACATAAATTTCATAGATTAATTTTGGCTTAAAATGAGTTAGCGATCGCAAAAGACTACTGAAAAGTCAACAAAAACAATGTATAAAATCGTCAGAAATGAGGTCTTAATCATGTTTTGGTCAGAATTTTAAACATATTTATGAATTATTACTGCTTCAGAAACAAAACGAATTATATCAAATGACATATGTACTAGTTAATCTTTACGCAGAACTGCTCATAAATTATTTATTTGCGAGCGGCTCGTGATGCTTATCTGCTCCAGGATATGTGCGTCAGCAACAAATATGATTTGTAATATAAACTATCAGTGTTTCATATTTAATCAGTTGTAAAATTAAATACTGATTTAATACCTCACGATCCAGATCGATAGCGAATAAACCATGATCTGCGAACCCCATTACAATTCTATTCTTGTCTATAATTGCAGCACACTGAGCGTTACGCAGTTCGCGAAATGTTATCGAATCAAATACTTCCTAAGATGCAATTTAAATCCATAAAAAAAATGCATAATTATATGGATAAGTGAATGTAATATAACCAAAGTGCACAAAACTTATAGATAAACAATAATAAGCTTTAAAAATAGAAAATAAGAACTCTCGATTTTAAATTATAAGTACGAGTTCTCGAACGGCACTGAAAAATGATAATCAACCATATGAGTTTAGCCGTTACCTTTACTACAAAGGCACTTTTATCAGCAAGTTTTGTACGACGCAGCAGACTTTTTAATTCATTTAGCGCAATGACCCACTTCGTTTTTTCCTGGATGCGAAAAATAATAAGCAAATTAGGAAGCACATTTGTTACCGTGAAACTAAATATTATATATATATATCACTCATGGATGACTTGAATATGAAAAAAAATTTTGATAAATTTAGACACGTTTTTTGTAATATGTATAAACATGTACTTCATGGTTATCTGCCATTAGAAGGGTATACTGACGGGAAACAGGTCCATCTGATGAAGCACTACCACTACTTGATGTTGATCCCGTTGTATTGATTCCTGATGTTGGTAATACACCGTGGATTTGGCTGGTCGTTATACGAAATATTTTTGGTAGGTCTGACTTTGATGCATGAATCACATCGGTTTCTGTAACACCTGTTACCGTAAAATCGGTATCACGCATATCCAAAACCTAAAAAATTAATTTCTAAAATACAAAATATTGGCCAATTTACCACAGTATTATGAAAAAACAATTTTAAAAATAGCAAAAATATAACCTGTCTAATTACTGGATGAATATCAATTGCTTTTCCATGCTTATCAGTGTTACAGTCATAAAGATACAACTTGAAATCACATACAACGACGTAAGTAGGCTGCCAGCCTCTTTTGACACCAGATGGCTTTGGTGTCTTTACTAATCCTGGAATTAATTCTAAATTATAGCCAAGAGAAATTTATTCCTTACGAAAAAGTGATATCTTTCATAAAACGCTTAAGTTGAAAAAAGTGAATCATAACATGCCTTCATATGCAGTGCCTGTTCCTCTTTGAGGATCGATACCTAATGGCCTTCTTGCTTCAGGTGGGACTGGACAAACTAAAGGTACCTTCGGTAAGCAAGCAACATGACAAGCATATTGACAATCTTGACAGAATAATCCTGAAAGATGGATGGAATGTGAAATTATATTTTTGATTACCAGATTTTTAGGATTGCCACAAGTGAACAATCGTTTCGAAAACTAGAGAAGGTGCTCAAACTAACCCTGTCGATCAAGGCCAATCAAGATAGATGTACAGTAAGCACATTTAGATGGAGTTTGCAAGTGTATATGTGAAAAACGGTGACCCTTGCCATTTAATGCATTGTTCAACGTTTGAATGACCTGATACAACAAAAAAATAACACTTAGAACTAACAATGCATAAAAATATATTATAAAATAAAAGGAAATGAAATATCTAAATGAATAAAATAAAAGGAGGTGAAGTATCTAAAAAAAATTAAAGTGATGATTTGGTTTACTGGGCATAAGATATACTTCCTACGAAGAACCTCTATAATCAACTTAGTTGAAGAGAACGATTCAAAATAAAAAATTTCAATCAAACGAACTTTCGGACTGGCTCCTCGTCCTTGTGTGCCTATAACTAACGTTGAAGCAGCACTGGGTGTTGGCGTAAGAACTCGTGTATTTTCATATGTGGGAACTAACATCGGTGAGCTTCCGCTGAAAATTCGCTAGCAGTATTCAGGATGTTATTTCTACTATTTCCTTTAAGCATTTTACAACACCAAATGCTCTAGAACTAACAATGGATGAAAATATACTATACCTATTGTCAAATGACTGCTGCTGATGATGCTTTATCTGATGACATCGTCTCATCGAACTATTTGAAATTTCATAATCATTTCCATTTACGGCCAAAGTAGAATTATCAAAATATGAAGTTGAGATATTTCGAACTATAAAAAGGAAGTATTTTGAAGCAATCAAATAAATAGGATCAAAATAATGTTTTGCAGTACTGCTGCCAATAACGTGTTTTATGAATGCACATTCATAGCTCAAAATTAAAAAAAAGTCCTACTCTCAATTTTTTCTAATCCAAAAATATGTTTCATTTAATTAGTTACACATCAAATAAAAACATCTTTGAAAGCAAAGTAAACACCGAGCTGAAAATCTCGTATGTTATAATATAAAGATTAATGTGGAAATTTTTAAACCTGACGACAACCTATCAGTACTTATTTCACCAACGACATTGAAAAATGAACTGCTTTCCTCTGGATAATCCGAATGCCCAGCCAAAATACGCGACAACTGCTCTTTTTCTTCCGTCAAGCGTTCAATTTTACGGTTTTGTTCAGAAACCTCAAAAAAATTAATGTTTTAGATTATTTTAATTAACATAGCATTAAAAAAGTTATGAGCATTACATTAGATCAAGTGTTTTTTCAAACATTCGTTGACAATCGCATCAACAAATGAAATCTTCATTTACCAAATACTTCGCTTGAAAAGTTATTTTTTGCTTTGACATTTCAATTTCTATTCCAAAAAACAATTTTAAAATCATTGGCAATTTCAACTGATTAAAATAATTCTATTCCTATATTTCATTTACCAAAAAAAAGTCACTTCTTTTTAAAAGAATACGCATGCTAAGAAAGAGTAATTTAACACACGAAATCAAAATATTCATAGCGCTTCATCTTCAGTTGTAAAATATTAACCTGCTTATCAGACTCATCTAATCGCTGCTTAGTAGCTAAATAAGCACAACGAATCTTTTTAAGCTCCTCAAGAAGCTGTTGCTTTGCTCGTATCTCAGACTGCAAAGCTTGCTGTGCTTCTAAAAGTTCAATCTTTGTCTGTTTATTTACACGTCGCGATCCCCAACCTCCAGCTCTATCGGTTGAAAATCCTGAAACCACGGATATGAGTTTTAGTTTCGTTCTGATATTGTTCCCTCTTCAAGCTTCTATTCATTTGATTTTCTGATATTTAGAGAGGTATAAAGAAATCCAAGATCGTTCCACAAGTAATCAGTTTTGATGTAGACTAATAAATTAAAATTACTTAACAAATGCCATTAAAAAAAAAAAGAACACTTATCATTAGAATAAGGCGACAAATTATTCGTAGATGATGACTGCTGCATTTTTAGAGATTCCACATCTCCATGTAAACGCGTCGCCAAATTCTGAAATTGAAAAACAAAAATTAAAAGCAAAAATAAAATAAGCAAATACAATAAATCTGACCTCCTGAGTAAATTTTACCTGAAGCGAGTCTCTGGCATCCTTTTCATCACTAACCCACTGCAACAGCTCCTGAAGTTGACTTTCGGTTAGACCAGATGCATTTGGGAGTGAAAATGATGTCGCAACTCTTGATTTGCTGAAAACCTGCGAGTGATGATTTTAGTGAATTCAGATGATGCACAACTTGGTAAGAAAAGTACGTATTATCGATCAAAATTATATATCTTTAATTAATCTCGAAAATCACGAGATGCTTTTTAAAAGCAAATACAACCAACATTTCTGCTTGCAATTTATTGATATCATTTCTAAATTCTTCGTTCTCAACACCTAATCGACAATTCTCTTCTTCCAGCAATTTCAACCTTCTTTCATAAAGATTCTAAAAATACCAAATTTTTGAAAAAATTTAAAAACTAGCAAAAATGAAATACACATCGCAATCTCCTATGACTTTTTCGTAATGCTCTAAAACATAGTTTCGAAGCAGAAACTAAAAAAAAAGGGAGAAAATATTTCAATATTTTTGATTATGATCTTATCGTTCTTAAAAATAAATAATGCTAGGCAAAGATATGAAACCTCAATGTTAACTATCTGTTCATCATGTTTCATACGCCAATCTGCTCTTTCCTCTTCGTGGCGTTCTTTCATTTTCGTCAGTTCCTTTTGTTGCTGATCTAAACCATTTTGCAAGTCCGTTACCCGTGACTGCAAGCAAAAGTATGTCAAAAAAAGCAGAAAGTGTCAACAAAATGACCCTTAGAAAGACTCATATTTCAATTAAAAAATAACATGCAAGCACAAGTATTTCATTTTAAATCCTGCAAAGATATCAAAGGAAGAACTAATCCATTTCAGATTTTGATTTCTATAAACATTAGTTTAGAAGTGACATTTTACACTGAAATGTATAATTACGAGTACTTTCAATATAATAGCCTCAAAGGATGAAAACAAAAATTTTAATTCTTTTAATCTGAACAAATACTTTACATCTCAAGAGATACTGATCCTTTAATTCAAACATACACATTTATCAATCAAGTTTAGGACTTCTTAAACCTAATGACTACAACTTCCGAAGCAATGTAAATAGCTACCTGCCAATAATCCACAGTCTGCTGCCGTTTCTTCTCTTCCGATTCAACCATTTCAGCGTAACGTACATTCACTTTTTGTAGTTCGTATGTTAAACGTTCTACTTCTTCACTTTCAGTTTTTGATTCTTGTGATGCTAGCTTTGTTTGCAACGTCTCACGTAGTAAACGTTCACTTGCTAGATCTTGCTGAGTACGTTCTGCTGTTGCCTCTGCTTCTTTTCGAACTGCAAACAACATTTATTTTAAACAAACATTTACAGTAAAAACTGTACAAATTTAAAAACAGAAATTTAGAAAAAATACAACAAAGAATAAAGCATTCCCCACTGAGCAATATATTAGTAGAACACATAAATTTGATTTTTCTTCGGGAATTCGCATCAAATATGAAATTTATGTTATTTGTAAATTACAAGCATCTACTTCCTGAATGTTTATCCGAAAGTCTATGATTAGCACTAATTCGCAACTAATATTTATCATCTAAAAATTTTAAGAAAATAACCATTTTCTATTTCATTCTCTCATTTCATGGCAACAAATTATCAAAAAAAAAAACTAACTATTTTCAAGTTTTCGGAGTTCCAACCTGAATAAACCAAGCTTTTGTTGTAACTGCGAAATTTCTGATTCATATTCTTTAGCTATCTTTTCAGACCGTTTTAGCTTATCTCGTTCATCCAATAATGCCGTGTTCAACTACAAGTGAATTTTTGATGCTACAACTTTTTAGATCATTAATTTATGGTAGCTAATTAAAAAAACCAACTTCATCGTAATCTTGTTTAGCCAAGTCTCGATGCTTCACTGCCTCTTTTAACTCTCGCGTCTGTATCGTTAGTCTTTCGGATGTTTCTTCCAAATCCTAAATATGAAACAATGTAAAATACAACAACTAAATTTCATTAAAAAAATTATTGTTAGTAACGGCTTTAACAAAAAACTGAAACAGAAAGACCTTTAAAAAAAGATGTTAAACATGATAAGACGACTTATACTTTTGATAACCACAGAAAAATATGTAATGCCACAAAACAGCGTAAGCTGAGCAAAATTTAAATATAAATTAATGTCATACCCGCTGCAAATCTTGCTTATCTAAAATTAATTGCCGATTTTTTTCTTTCAATTCCTTTATTTTTTTTTCTAGTTCTTCTTGATTTGATTCCTTAACAGGCCTTAATGATGCACTGTTTTCTTCCGCCAAACGCTTTTTCAGAATCTGAATGAAGTCAATTCGTATAACTGAATAGAATCATTAAAAAAAATTAATGTGACAAAATACCAATAAAATAAACGCTAAGGTGCAAGAAATTAGCACCCAAGTTTTTTGCAAATAACATTTTGAAAACTGCATCTGATTATTTATTAATCAACAACAATTTTAGGAATTAATGTAGCAGACAATCACCTGAACTTCATCTTTTAACTGAGCAATAGTTTGCTCATAATTCACTGACTCATATGCTATATCACCATCGGGAGCTGACCCATGAAAACGAGTTTGTATTAAACGACTTGCTTCTAAGAAAAAAAAGCTTGATTATCAAATGATCAAGAAAGTGTCACAGAACAAAAATTTTCAGTTTTTTAAAGAAATGCGATACAAAGTCAGGTGCAATCAAATTAAGAAGAAGAAAGAACATTAAGAAGTTAATTTAAAAAACCTTGAAATTTTCGTGAAAGTTCAATTTTCTCCTGCTCCAACCTTTGAATTCTTCTTTCATACGCTTCAGCTGTTAAAGCTGGAAGTGAGTCAGCACTTGAATCTAGCCCTGTCAGCGATAAACTTTTGCAGTCTGACAACATGCTACAAAAACCATATTTTTTAAAGTGCAAACAATAATTTGAAAGTGATGACAAATTTTAAGAGAAGAATAAAATCATACCTGTCATGAGTATAAGTAAATCCTATAAATGGTAGATGATGTCCAGTGAAAGGAGCGGTAACATTCGGCGGTTTTGTATCCTACAAACAATCCACCCAAAAAAATTGGTCTTAGTTTTTGTAAACTCAGCATTAAGAAAATGACATACACAGAGCATTCACTAAAACAAACCAAGTATTAGGAAAAATCAATTCTGAGTTTTCGAACAACATATAATGTTAATCGTGAAATACTTAAAAACAAGCAAGGTTTGACAGAATGTTCAAGTATAAATATTTACACAAGGTGTGAAATCTGGAGAGCACGCTTCCACATCAAAATTTGACGTGTCTGTTGGACTTGACACTTCTGGACGATATGGCGTGTCCACTTAAAGTAACTTTCAATTCTTTAAATTAATAAAAGCTTCTTATAGTCATGTAACCAAAAATGTAGAATAAAAAGTGATAAAATAACTATCAAATGATATGATAGAAGTCCAAAAATTTCAGATAATAACCAACTGCCAAGTGAAAATCGTAAATTTTTAGTCTGAAATTAATGCTAATTTGCCATAATAAGAGGGATCAAAAGAAGAAAGAAACATAAATGTAGCAATTGATGATATAACGAACTTATTTTTTAAAGTTTTAGGAGAACAAAAATCCATAGAAATTACAAGAAGCTCACTTTCTCGAACAGCTTCCCAATCAATGCCATCAAAAAATGGATGCGATGCGAAATCTACCAAGCCGTTTTGGCCAAGACGAGTTTCTCGTGGACAAATCAATCGCTTCATTAAATCTTTCGCTTCTTCCGAAATATCAATATCATCCGGAAAATCTAACATTTCCTAAACAAAAAGTATCAAAGTGAGGACACCAGTATGGAAAAAGAAATGCTGAACTCAAAATTTTCACATTTAAATTCCATAAAGATGTCTTAATATAAAGAAAAGGAATTGATATTTAACAAAGGATCTTTCTAAAAGCAAAAAAAAATTGAAAAACATTAAGAATTATCGACTTAGCATTTGTAACATATTTTATGGCATGTGAAAAAAAAAATTTTCTGGAAGTTAAGAAATGGTGGTTGTGACAAGAATTTCATATGAACTAAGAAATCCTCACGTTCAAATTTTGATTTCAAAACTAGGGTAATGACATCGTAGAATATGTTGGAATCTTAGAAAATGCTATGCACAAACGACAAGCAATGTTTCAATTTTCATTACAATACAAAATAAAATGAAAAATATACTTTATTTTTCACATCAACTCATGCTGGAATTGATATAATTTAACAACACATATGCAAAATGCTATATCTAATTTAACAAAAATGTAGTGTTACGAATATAACAGACTTCTATATGCATATTATATTTCATTAACTACGATAATAGAGATTACTAAGAATCATCCTTTTCTTTCTCCATCTCAACTTTCTAATTACTAACCTGATGGCTCATAATTTTCCCGTATGTTTCCACTAAACTTTCAGCATAAAATGGAGCAACCCCATACAACATTTCGTACATGCATATTCCAAGCGACCACCAATCACACTCAGCTCCATATCGTCCGCGACCATCTTCCATGGCCTGAAACTTTATTCTTCGTGGAATAAGTTAGATAATCTTCAAAACGACCAGAGCTCACAAACAAAATAAATTGCATCTTTAGCAGTTACAAAATTTAAGAGATAATACAACGATAACATACTTTTACTGCTTTATTAAAATAAAGTATACTATGAATGACAATTACTAACTCGTAATATTTCAGGTGATATGTAATCAGGCGTACCAACCGCTACGTTAGAATGTACTGTCCCATCAGGAAGCAATTTGAGACAACTTCCAAAATCAGCTAATCGAATATGGCCATTGATATCTAACAGAACATTGTCTGGCTTAATATCTCTACAATAAATTTAATCGCTTTCACTAAATTTAATCTTATTAATCTTATATTGAAGAAAAACAAACACTTAGAATTCAAATGCTAGAACCTTTGCAAATGACAGAAGTGAAATTTCTATCCTTCAAAATAAGAGAGATAAAAACCAAACCTGTGCACATATCCTAATCGATGAACTGAATCAATCGCAAGTACCATTTCAGCAATGTAAAATCTAGCCATATCTTCAGGTATTCGTACTTCAAACTTCGACAGCAATGTTAACAAGTCACCACCCACATAGTAATCCATTATTAGGTACTGTTAAAAACATAAGTGAACAAAACAAAACCTTTATCGTTTTCAAAATGATACTAAGCAATAATATTTTTTGTATTTATTACTTCTTGTGCTGTAATAAATAGCTTCATATATCCTTTTCTAAAATAAAACAGAGAAGTTGAAAATTATCGTAAAATCAGAGTTTAAAAAAAGATTTAAAATTAATTTAAAACTTCAAACAGAAGTTATGATTTTGGAATAACAATGCAAACAGCATTTCCATTTCACTTGAAAAACAAGTTTATCTTTAAAGCGTCATAATTTAACCACGCATAAATTAAAGAAATATGAAAATAAAGAACTAAACTTACCAAATTGCGTTCATCTTGAAAGGCATAATGTAAACTAGTTATCCAACGACGATCTCCGTAAACCAAGACATCACGTTCCTCTCGAAAACATGCTGTCTCAGCTCGTTTTAACATCTCCCATTTATTCAATATTTTCATTGCAAATACCTATCAAATGTAAATATGACTTTACTTTAATCCAACTGCATTAAGGCAAAATTTGTTGTTGTGATATGTTATTCAATACAGCATTAATCTTCCAATTTATCCGAATTTTTGTAATTAGGTTAGCCAAATATAGAAATTGTAAAGAAATAATTTGAGGAGGCAGCAAAAACGAGACTTATCGTTTACAAAAAATCTTTGGCAGTTATTAACTTATTTAAATGTTAGCTAAATTCCGTCACAAACCCTTTCAGTATTGCGCATTCGTACTACTGCCACTTCCCCAAAGGCACCACGTCCAATAACTTTAAGAACTTCAAAATCTTCACGGCATAATCGTAATGCTTTAGCTTTCACCACTACTGGCTTTACTGAAAATAGTGACAATTCAACTTTGAGGTTTACATCATCTGGTACCAAAAACTGCATATTTCATGAATTAAACCATTTTTCATCATTGATTTAAACCACAATTTGAACTTAAACATGCTATTAGTAACTACAACAAATGTCCTTCATACGTGCCAGGTTAAATATATGAGTATTCGTCTTTCAAAATCCACTTCTAATTTAAAAAGCAACCATGAGGTGCAAAAATTAATCCCTCTTACAATAAAAATTTAGTAATTTTTTTCTTTTAAACAGCGGATTAACTACAAAACTCATAAATTGATTCTAGACGTTGTATGCATAATCTAGACAATAATTATCTAGAATGCACCAACAAAATTAAGAAAATCATTTCTTATCAAATAAGAAATAATTGAAATGCTCTTGACGATCCAAAACATTTTACACAACGTGATTTGCTATTACTACTAAATTTTATCTGTTTCTCGAACATTAACCGCAAAACTAACCATATTCAACAAAATCAGCAATGTTTTTCTCCTTACGTAATGTTGAACTACAGCATTCATCAAACAAACATATCAAGGCATCTAGTAAAGATTCTATTGAAAGAACGTCTTCACCACGCGACACATTCAAATAACATTGTTCCAGCTGCTTCACACGTGTTGAACCAGCTTCTCGTAATGACATTATTCACGTTAAGATACACCCTTTGGCGACGCTGAAAATTTTTATAACATCATCTTTACTTAACTTTATTTTTATAACATCATCTTTACTTAACTTTTATTTGTGAGAATGAACTTAACTGCAAGACTTGCACTATCACTTTATACTACAAAAATGAAAAATCTTTCCAATAAAGGATACAAAAATAAAGCACTGAGAGCTGGGCGATACTGGATTTAATATCTTCCAAAAATAATTATGACAGCACTTAACTCACTTGAGTAATTATTTTGATTTAATTAATTTATAAAAACAAAAAACGTAAAATAAATAATTTTCAGTCGGTCTTTCAGTGACTTCTTTTGCTACCTCAGACAAAAGCAATATTAAATAAAATTAGATGCTGTATGACATCAAATGTCAAATAACCCCAACTAGCAAACTATTCGCCAAAACTGTGTCGAGACAACACACTGATTTTAGTACTCTTACGAATTAAGCAAATAATATTTTGTAAACTAGTATTTACACTAAAAAACCTATTTTAAAAAAACCATATTCATTTCGGGCAAAAACTTGAAAAATTATGGAAGCGAGCAATAAAAATGAGAAATATTTTCAAAACTATAACCTACAGTAATATCAATTTACTTCTAGTCTTCCAACTAACATCAAAACCTTACAATTCAGTCATACTTTTGTTGCCGCTTAATCCCGAAAAAATTTGAAAAAAAAATAGTTCTTACATAATCAATCTTTCCAAGTGCTTGAAATAGGATATTGTGATAAATAATTTAGAAAGAAAAAGCGCTCTCAAATTTCTTACTGGAATAAAATGCTCCTCAAACCAAAAAAAAGGCACTTGTTTCATAGCGGTATAAATTTGCGTAAATTTCTTATATGCTCACAAAAGGAGCATGCTGTGATGCACAGTAAACTTTGAATCACATTCAATTTTAAATGTTAAACTGTACTGAAAATTTCTAACGCTTTTTTAGAAATGACAAACTTTCTTTGCGCACATAAGTAATACTAATCAAATCCTGTTCACAGATAACTATAATCAAGAAATACTTCAAAGAACAATTTAAATCTGAAAGAGATGCAAATTTATGAACTGAATATGCATGAAATAATTTTGAGATTATATGAACATATTGTTGACGAAAAAATACATTGACATACGGGAAAATTTTGAAGAAAAACAACAAACACTATAATAAACGTACAACTAGAAGATGAAAATTACTAACACATACGTAATACTAATACGAGATATCATGTATTTCCAACGCATGCTTTATAGCAGTTACGTGATTAATTATTGAAATGAGCTCCAAAAATGCACATATTAAGGCTTTCCAACTAGAAATACGTTCTTATTGTGAGCAAACCAAAAAAATTTGAAATTCACATATTTTCAAATTTTAGGCAATAAAATTGAATGAAAACCATTGTGAGCACGAAATTTATGGTCATTTAAACGCGTGACAATTCAATACTTTTCAAGTTATTTTGAAATTTCATCCGATTAAATATTAGTATACAGCCAAAAAATAGATATGAAACTGAAAGCAATTCTCAGAAACCTGTTTTTGCAATTTGCTTTCAAAAATAGCACAAAATTTTATGCAAGATAATTATAAAATATTTAATATGCATGTTTGTATGTGCATAGAAATGCATAATCACCACATCAGGAGCATATAAATCTACCACCAAATAACTCTCAGTGCAAAAAACAATTTTTAATACTACTACTCATTCTGATTCCAATGTAAACATCATCAAGCACTGCAAATTAAAATATGCATTTTCACTGTTAGTCAGTTTTTAACAAAATGATTACAACATAACAATATTTATATATGTGCATAAAGATTATATATATATATATTCACAATTATCGATCATGTATTCACAACAACAACCTACCATCTTATATTAAGAACTACACTTCCGTTATTACATGCAATCATAAAACCCAATACTTTGACAATCTAAACAATTACAATAAATGAAACCAACATTTCTCACACTATCATTATCCTTAAACATAAAGCAAGACAATCTTCACTGAATCTTTGAGCAATTCTGACTTAATACTAAAGACTGATCAATGAATTTTCATGTCATTTCATTCCAGACTGAATCTTATTAAACCTCTCAACATTATTCAGCAGTATTATATCAAAACCAACCATTAAACTTTACATCAGCTCATCAAATGCTAATATTACTATAATAAAAACTAAACCCCATGCAAAAAAATGACTTACTTCATGACAAGTGTTTGTGACTGTGATGCATTATATAAGCAAGAACTCCTTAGGACTTACACACAATACACACGCACACGCTCGCACACACACGCACACACACATACGAATATATATATATACAGCGAGTGATGATGATGATGATGACGATGATGTAGCAGTTTGGGTTAGGCACAATAGACAACAGTAGCAGCAGATATATATTTTTATTTATTTCCCGAGAACGAAGAAGCAATTCTTGAATAATCGCGTACGCACAAAGATGATAGCAAAGTCGATATCAATTTCTCACTCCACCACAGCAAAAAAACCGACACAGCGCTAATCTGAAAAAGAAATACACTTGTACTTGTACGTACTCAGCAAAACAAATAACGTTAAATACAAGTGCAATCAATACATACTTTCTTCCTAACTTTGTACCTGAACTCATTTCTACCTGAGTGAGTTACCTCGAGCACCTCTCTCTACAGATCTGTAATGTGAATGCAAAAATTCAACGTACCACACTTACTCGTAATCTATCTTATCTATCAACAATGTCACAGTTACACTTTAAAATTTGCAAGGTTTTACTTGTCTCTATGTGTGAAGGTGAAATAAAAAATCAAAACAATAACAACTCAAAAGTTACTAAAAATAATTGCAAAAGAAGAAAAAAAGGAATTGATAAATTAATGAAGCAATTTGTCAAAGCTGAAAGCAAGAATGATTTGAAATGATTAATCTACTGAACTTCAAAACGACGTAATCTTACTCTACAAACACTCTAGAAAGTGAAATCATTGTGATTGTGTAGTAATTTCTTGATGAATACAATTATTCAAAAATATATGAGTCAACAGAACTAAACTTCGACTTTATTACATAGTGGCTACAATTCCAAATTTTTGTTCACACAAAAGACAGAGATAATATTTGTAGGAAAAAACATGCAAAATCAACAATGCACTATGAAGGCACGACGATAGATAACAACAAAAATGTTAATTTGCTAACACATTTCTCACAAATACAATAAAACAAATAAATTACAGTGAAGTTAAAGAAGCTAAGAGACAGTCTAATAGCTAATTTCAAGACATTTTTGACGAAAGCAAAAATAAAACAAAAAATGCAATGGGAGGGATAATGCTTGAAAGCTTTAAAGTTACCACACATTATCTATCTATGCATCGAAGCAGATAAACTTTCTAAGAATATCCAATGGATCGAATGAAATAAAAGATAAATACCCCATTACAGAGTAATTACTATATCAAATAAACATTACAACAAAATATACTTGAAAAACTTTGACACAATAGCCACTGAATAATTTTTTCTGCAGGCAAAGAAATAAATATTATCAAAATAGTCGTGAGATTCATTCGTCACTTTACTAATCTTATCAAAACTTATTCACATTTTCCCAAACTTATTTTATCCCTTTCCGTTCTTCGTTCGTTATTTTATTTTTTCTTCTCCAATAAAAGAGTCAAGACTTTTACATTAATGGTTTTTTATTACATTATTTTCCTTTGTGTCTTTTCTTGCAACCGATATTTTCATACTATTTTCAATATCGTTACCATCCTAAAAATCCAACTAAAATTAAATATTTTGCAGACTTTTTTTAAAACAATTTAAAATCGCAATTCAACAAAATT